AAAGTAGTCCAAACAGCGGTGCTACAGTCTGATGGTGGGTGGGTGGTCGGGCGGGGTGTTTGGAGAGTGGAGGGGGGGTGGGGGGTGGAGAAAGGTGGAAGGGTGCTGACAAAAATCCCATCTTCTTAACTGCCTGTGCGCCTGCCGTATCTGCTCCTTGGGAAGGTTTTCATCTGACGTAATCACATCAGTGATGTGAGCAAGATGTCACTGATGTGGCTGCTAGCCAGCATCCACCTCCACTGGCTTAAAGACGCCACGTTGTTCTGGTGAATTTGACTCCGTTTAGTACTAAAAACATCCCTGACAACTGTTTATTTGATTTTTGATTTTTTTTTGCCAGTTTGCTGGAGTGTGACACTTCCCCTGGTCCAGAAACGCATGTGGAATATATTGATCTCTGCAACTATATATTCCAAATACTTGCATGCCTTGCCGTATTTTTGGCTATTTCCTTTTGCCGTCGGACGACACAGCGGCAAGTGAGAGCTGATCTGTAACAGCACTAACACAGTGTACCTGTCAAGCATCAGCAGTGACCCTTTGTTTTTCACAGTGGCTCTTTAACTCTCCTCTCACCCGCTGACATTTCAGATGAGACGGACCCTTCCTTTTTTTTTTTGCAGCATAGTGTCCGCCTTGATTCACTTTCATTCACTATTACCAGCCTGCCTCATTGGAGCAGTGTGCAGTTTCTGAACTCCAACACTGCTCCCAAGTGGAATGGCTGGGCACTGCCAGTGGGCACACTGCAGCTTTGCGGGCAGATTGTGTCACTTGAAAACTTCCAAACATCCATTCAATGCATCTCGAGCAGACTTTGTAGTCTCTGTTGAATAATAGATGGCCTGCTATAAATGTCTACTGAACAGTTACATTAGCTCGCTGTTGTAAGGAAGATTAATTTTAAGACTGCGTGCTGTTTCAATAAATAGCGCTATAAATCACTTTAAAGTGGCTTCAATTAAATGTGGATGTTTGATTCTGTTGTATCAGCATTCATAGAGTCCTAATTATATACAGAATTAATATTACAGCTGACTGTTTTGCAACGCATGCCACATGTGATGTCATAGATGTTTTACTGCGCTACAAAAATACAAAAGTTAAAGACTTGATCAAGCTGTGTCACCTTTGCTTTTTCAGGTTTTGTAAGCTTTTGCTTTTGCAGTCATTATCTGTTTTTTACTGGTCCTTACTGGTGCATTCAAAGACTTTTATTTCCAGTGAGATAAAATTATTTCTCATTATACCTTTACAAAATCGACAACATGTTTTTGTGAGTTGGAGTGGCTGGCACATAGAATGCAAGAGCAATGTTAAAAGTTGAATCTTTGAGAGTCCCTGAATGCACCGGAAAGGCGGAAATATGCCTCTAGACATTATATACAAGATAGATGCCAATATTTACATGTCGGACGCCAGTCACTGGTTATTTCAAGTGTGTTTAGTGTAAAGATTACAAATGTGCATCTCGTGTAATGCCGTTCGCTGCATTAGAGTCTCAGAGGTAAGAGTATGTTTCATAATACCCAACAACAGAATTTCAAAAAAGCCTAATCTTTGAGTCAGGTGAGAGTTTTAGAGTATCATAAAGCTGCACTGAAAATACTTGCAGATGATATGTATGTGAGTGTGATGTATTGTAAATTTAGTTCAAGTTAATATATAGTACTGTGCAAAAAGCTTGAGCCAGCCCCTCATTTCTTTATATTTTACTAGGAAATGGGAAATAGGTCCAGTGATATATTGAAATGTGCAAACATGCAGAGAAATACAGTACTTAAAAAGCAACAACAGAGTTTGTACAATTAAAACAAGCCTGAAAGTCAGTATTTGGCATGACCTCGTTTCCTCTGAAATCTTTTAGGCACCCAATGGAGCATCAAAATTTGACTGTGTTTTTCTGCATTCATTATTCCATCAGTTTTTTAAAAGACCTGCAACACCACTGGTTGAATTGCAGCCCCAAATCATGACAGACCCTACAATATATTACACATAGCTGTAGACACTCACTGTCCTGAACAACTTCTTTTGTCTTCTACTTGTCCAGTGTGCTCAAATGTTTGAAGAAATATATGCATACCATGATGAAATATGCCAAGGTTTGAGTCAAGTGGAACTAAAGAAAGACAATCTGGTCCTGAGAAGCAAACCACAAAGAAATGTGGGATGCTTCAAAATCTTTGCACAGTACTGTATGAGAGGTAGAAATTTGGAAAACACTAATGTAGTCACATGTTAATATTTTACCACCTGGGTTTTTGTACAGATTTTCCAAAAAAAATCAGCTGTTTATCATCTTTACGTTAAGCTAAGCAGTAGCTTCCCAGTGGTAACTTAGGCAGCCAAATATAAAAGTATTTAATTTTCATTGCACTGCCATACAAACGTGTTGAAATACTGACAAAAATAAAAGGTTCAATTGCTAGTTGTAAAATCTGAAAACATATGGTATGTTTTTGAATTTCTAAAGAACTAAAGCCAAGCCTTCTTTTTTTTTTGTTTTCATTTTGTGCGCTCTCATGTCATCTACCACAATTGTTCTTTCTCACTGCTACCTCTTCCTCTGGGTTTCTTCCTCCCAGGTGAAGCGGCATGCAAGCACATTTTTAAGATCCCTCTGTGTAACTTGGTGGGCCGCAGCATCGAAAGACCCCTGAAGTCCCCTCTGGTCAACAAAGTGCTGACGACACCAGCCCCCACCATGGTGGCCCCAGCTCCCCTCATCTCTGCAACACACTCGCTTTCCTTATCCCGCATGGAGATCAAAGAAATAGCCAGTCGCACACGGAAGGAGCTGCTCGGTAAACGAAAAAATTATTTTACGCCATATAGGAAATTTAAGTTGTTTTTATGGAACTAGTGCCCACTGGTGCAGTTTTGGATTATCCCTCACATATCTGCTCCTTCATGGTACGGCTACATTTGAGCTTACTAGCAACAGCAAAGCTACATGATGAGATCACAGTCAGTCAAAAACACACACAGAGATTCCTTTATTTTTAGTTAGATCTAGTTGCTGTCTCTGTGTTTTATTCTAAAATCTTCCTCAAAAAAGCTAATTCCACAAACACATTTTGGTTTGCAAGAACAGCTATATAAAATCTCAATGGGCTCCTCCTGCTCATGTGAATCTTTTATCTGTTTATTTATTCATTTCTGGTCGTGTTGTTTCAGTTATTACATTATATGTGGTATCGCAGCCATTGCCCAACTCCCTGTGAATGGTCCATGGTCATTGATCAGTAGCTGTTGACCAGTGATCAAGAAAGTGACCTCACAGCCTCCCAGTGGAAAGGCTACGTCCAGATAAACAGAATCAACTTTCTGCAAGACATCACTGTACTAATTCTAAAATCTTTGAAGTACTCTCCAGTATTGGTCTCAGATGCTATTACAGTTTAGTGGCTCAGTCACAGTAGAGCAAAGATATGATATAAACCTCCTTGCAACTACTAAAAATTGGTGGTTGCCCGGTGAGTCCATTGAATATTTTGAAATTTAGCAGCCGATTACAAGTTGTTGCACTGACCAACTGGTAACCCAGAGGTTAAGAATGCAAAACCCACAACCTGTAGTTGACCACACAGTGATTGCACAGGTTCCCTGGAGACAGATTGGCAACAGGTTGTAATCAGTGTGAGTCAGTCTGGACACATCATCTACGTGTGTGTTTTTAATAGCAGACCTGCCTCAACTGGTTTCCAGTTGGTTGTATTCTGGTTATATTCCTATATAAAAGCACCTGTGTCATTTTTCAGTTAAATTGCTGGATTCTGAATGTAACTAGTTGATGTGAATTTCTGTTAAATGTTACATTTCTGTGTACGTAGTTGGCGACACATTTGTGATTTTCAACGATTTACAGTTAATCGTATCATACAGTTTCCAAGCTGACCTTATTCAGTCACAAACTGATAGCAGACTGACTTCGATTTATTGCTGTTTTCTGACTATCTTGATGCACCAAAGTTGCTTTCAAGATGTCAACTGTGGTTAAAAGCAACACTCAAAACCACAGAGATCACACGGTCACATTCATTTTGGTTGTGCAGCATCTCTAACTACTGTTTTCTCCAGCAAGACTGTAGCATTAGAGACTATATCTGAGATATGAAATCACCACATGACTTTACACATTTGGCTTTGTAGGAGAAGATCCCAAACAATGTGTACCTTCCAAGTCTGAAGTAGATCTGTTTTGGGTGTTTTTTTAAACATAGGCAAAAAGCAAAAGTTTGACATTTGGAAAAATGTGCTTATTGGCCTTCCTGTTGTGTGAGGAGATTCATCCCACTGTTATGTGGTACTTTTACACTAAATGTAAACTTACAGCAACATTAGCTTAACATATGGAGAAACATTTACTCTTTTGTCTAAAGAAGCCATTTCTATCCGTCCCCACCTTCAAATACTTTCATATTTCATATTCATATACTTTGGATTTATTAAAATAAAAAGTTGTTTAAAATTTTAAATGAAATCCAAGAAAATTACAACTTTTGGTTTGAAATCATCTAGCACATAATTCACTCAACAAAGCCATTTGTACTACTGACAGGTTAAACAAGACACAATATGTGGATTATAGTGCTTGAAGGCTATGACGCTCATGTTAAGTTAAGCTACCAATTGTATTTAATTTTTGAATCACAGATATAAATGGGATATCGACCATCCCACTCTCAGCAGGAAGGCAAAAAAAAAGCATATTTCTGAGTTTTCCAATGCATTTTCCATTGTCTCCTACCAACAAAGGCTTGACAGAGGAACCAAGTGGGAAATCAGACAGCGGATCGGTGAAACAGAGAAAGATGAGCAAAAAGAACACAGAGGACGAGCCCAAAGTACGAGCGCTGACGTCCACAAACAGCGACAGGTGACACTTCTGAATAGCAGCTGCACGTTTGATCTTTGCTTAATGCTAGCTTGAGCTTGAGACATGAGTCTTTCTGTGCACAACAGGCTAGCCTCACAGTCCAGCGAAGTGGATCAGGATGTCCAGCTGCACTGTTCGTCCAGTTCGGAGGCGGAGCCAGAGAAGGCGGTGCTGCAGCCAGAGAGCCCACCCCTTACCAGTGCGTTCTCCCTCTCCACATCCTTCGAAGAAGATGTCTTGGACCTAAAGTGAAGACAATCCCATTGTGCACTTCTCTGCCCGCCCACTTCTGCACT